GTAGCCATAAGAAGAGAAAAAGTCAACGGGGAGGATGTTTCTGGTTGCCGTGATGTGACGACAGGACCGTGGCTGCCAGCGGCGGCGAAGCCCCAGCAGCAGCCAGAGACGCTCCCTCCTGTAACCCCGATCCCAATTCCCGCTGCCGTGCGAGAACCTCAGATTTCCACATGAAAAAAAGAAAAATTTGAAACCCCAAGTTGTGTGTCTGCTACTAAGGTTTTGGATACCGGGAAGCACGAAGTCTCTTGGTGCATTAAGCTTTGTCGAAGCCTCATGACTCGACGCCTGGGCCACGGCGTGAGGCCTCAGCCCTCGGAGCTGCGGCGTCGACTTCCCCCTTCCAGCAGGAGACGACCCTGGGCCAGACTGTGACCACCCTGCCACGACACCAACAGCAAAACAGTCTCATTGGCCTTGTCCCGCTCTGCTTTTCCCAGCAAAGTTGAGAGGAAAGTTGGGTTTTTCCCCCCAGCGGTGAGAAAACTCCGAGAGCTGCAGAAATCCCGTGGAAGTCCCTGGGAGAGGCATGCAGCACAAGCTCCCGCAGCCCGGTGCCAAGACGTGTCTCGCTGCGTCGATTTACGGTCTCAGTCATCACCGCTGCCACTTCTAAACCCTCCTGCACCAAGTTTGGAAGTTATATAAACCGATTGCAACACACGGGCACCAGAAGCCAGGGCACGTAATCATGGGGCAGTATAATCCTGGCTAGAAGGGGTTTTTTACCCCCCAGCGAGGACGTTGCAGGCGGAGGAACAGGTTGCTCAGGAAGCTGTGCAGGCTCCACCCTTGTGGGTTTTCAAGAACAGGCTCAGCAAAGCCCTGAACTACCTCGTCTGATCTCGGAGCTGACCCCGCTTTGAGCAGGAGGTTGGTCTAGACACCTCCCGAGGCTCCTTCCCCCTTGAAGGGCACCTCCTGAGGAACCTCCCCACTACGATCGCCCACCGCTGCCACGTTTCCTCAGGCCACGTCCCTGAACACCTCCTGCAGGGCTGCCCCAGCGCAGCAGCCCTCAAGCACCTGCAAGGAGGGGATGGGGAGCAGCCCCCGCTCCAAGATTATTATTCTTTGAAGAAATCTGGAAGCTCGCCAGCCCCAAACCTCACTGGTACAAGATTCAGGCCAAAATAGACGCAGAGCTGGGGTCCCTACCAGCGTGTTTTACAGCCCAACCAGGCTGAGTCAGGACCGTGGTTGCTCTTCAGATGTGGCCCCATCTTTCAGCGTCACCCATGTCCGCACCTGAACCACTGCCTCCAGACCCGGCAGGGTCCCCAAATAGCCGTGGAGGTTAGCGGAGCCCCCCGCGATGCCCAGGGCACACACACCACGTCTTGCAGCCCATTCTGGTTCCCCGCAGGCCTGGAAGCGCCGAGCACAGCCCAGAAGGTCGCTCTCACCACACGTCCCCGTCGCCGTCCCCCCACGCCAGCCGCGCGTTGCGCTGATCGGCTTTTCATAACGACACGGCTCTGCCCCCAGCATGTGTCATCACCTGCAATTTCAGTAATGACACAGCGAGATCCTTATCACAAATACTCGTTTTCCAGCTAGTTTCGTCCTCGAATTCTTAACAAGTGACACCACCAAAAGCGGGGCAAGAAAACACTATCATTTATTCCTACCAGGGCAAGCCCGCAGGGTGGCCGCGGTACAGCCCCGCGCAGGGCGCTGCACATCCACGGACAGGGCCAGCCCCAGCCCCAGCAACCTCCCGCGCAGATTCAGGCAAAGGCCAAGTTCAATAACAACCAGGAAGGGGGGAAGTGGGAGGGGTGGGAAATGTGGTGACAGACATTTAAATAGACCAGCTGCGATGGCCCTGTGAGGGTTTCACTTCGGTTATATTTATGTCGTTTTAATATACACAAACACGCACGGGAGAATCGCAGCAGCCCCCCAACGCGAGCAGGAGCAGTCCCACGGGTTCGGATCAGGCCCATTCCCGCCTGATGTTCCTCTTCCGGGGCAGCTCCAGAGCAGGATTTGATAATAACCAGTTGCTCAGAGGACTCTGCTGAGACGCCCCATGAGCAACTGGTGCTATGGAAGGAGCTGCCACGAGGCACGTAGGAGGCAATTAACAGCCAGCTCGGTGATTAGGGGCACGCTCTGTTCCCACCACGCTCTGCCCCGATGCCCACACGGCTCCGCAGGCAGCCCCGGGGCAGGTTGGAAGCCAGAAGTGATGCTCCACTAGCCCCGGGAGAGCTACGGATGGACAACAAGAGGGTTATTGATGTCTGCCGTGCATCAGCAGCACGCGGCGACAGCCTCTGCCCGTCCTCCGCTGCCGCGGACCAGCCGCGTCCAACTCCGGCCAGCACATCCCCGCGGCCAGCCGGGCTCCCAACAGCAGCAACAACACGAGCTATGGCGCCAGAGTTCCACGGGCACAAAAGGGGAAATCGGGTCCTGCGCACAGGACCACGTCACCGCGCGCTGAGGAGCTGCTAATTTGATAAGCCTCTCCTTGTACACTTGGAACAGGTTGGCATGGAAACAACATAAATATTTTCAGTACGTTGTCAGCAGAGTGTTGCCGGAGCTCGTTATCACCCGTCCCCGCAGCCATTTCAAGGCGCTCACAAGGAAAGTCTATAAAGGTGAGAAGGTTCAGAAATATCCACCCCGGGAGCATCAGCGGGCAGCGAGCGCAGGAGCACCCAGCGCCCAGCCCCCGGCCTGCAGCGTGGGGGGGACGGCCCCCGAGGGCCAGAACCCCCTTGTGCCATCCAAGGGAAAACCAGACCCGATTCCCCCGACGACAGCTCGAGAACAGGGGGAAAGCGCCGAGGCCCCGCGGGGGGCTCTGCAGCCCCCACGGCGCCCGCCCCAACAGAGGCGCTTCCCCGCTCTCGGGGCCGATCCCGCCTCCCAGGCTTGTCCCCTTCAGTCTCAAACCGGGGGAACTACTGAGCACAAAAGCCACAAGAAGAGCAACCCTTATTCCAACCCTTTGTCTCTTGAGTAAATCCTAAATCTCAGTTCTGAAGTAACTCCAGCGTAAAGACACTTCCAAAACACACGCAGAGCTGCAACCGTAACGGAACCGCCTCGGACATCGGGCTCGCGCTGCCAGAGCGGCTCCCAGCCCCAGTTGCCCCCCCCGGATGCTGCCCCCTGCTCCCAGGGACGGCGAGGCCAGGCACCAGCGAGGGGCTGCAGTGTGTATAAACAATTAGAATTGCACTTTTCCACCCCAATTCCACTACGGCCAGACCAAAGGTGGAGGCGAGCCCCCCGCCCCCTCGCAGCACCAGGGCTGCCGAGCGATGGCTTTGGCACCTGCAGGAAAACCCAGTTACCACGGGAAAGAAGGGAAGGCAGATTTAGCAGCTCTGGAAAGGAGACACCCTCGCTTTACGTCATCATCAGCCACAACCAGCTTTACCTTTCCAGAGGTATCTCCTCAGGAGGCAGCGCTACAGCCGGGAGCAGCTCCTCCACATCACACATCCCAGCTGGCAACTCCCATCCCACCACCTCTCCTCCACGCTAAACCCCCTCAGATTTGAGCTCTGCCCTGCGCTGCCAAGAGCCTCAGAAGAGATTGGGAGTTAACTGGAACCAGCTGCTTGGACCTTCCCCCTCCTCTCGCCTACCAGCTGTTTTATCTCCTGCAGGTGATTCTGAGTGAGCCAGTGGGGCAGAAACAGGCAGGAGAGCTGGTGGGAGTGAATGATTCTCCGCCATGGCAAAACACATTTGTGTTCGGCCCTGGTCAGAAAGTGGATATGGAGCAGGTTATCGCAGGAGCGCAGCTCCAGGCTCAGTTTAAGGTTTGCTGCTGAGCTGCAGAGGCAAAAGGCCCCGAGTCTGGAGCTGCCTTCCCAGCCCAGACACCCACCAGCCCGACCTGCCTCGGCCACACCTGCGCTAATAAAGCAGGCGAAGCTTTCCTAACGAGGTAAAGAACATCCTGTGAAGGCCCTGAGGAGGACAGGGCATCTCGGGTACCTCGAACTCGGGCTGAGCAATTAGAAAGCATCAAAGTTAATCTTGCTGGGCTGTAACGTCGTCTCTTGCCACGTAACTGAAATGTCGTAACGCCTTTGGTAAGGCAGCCGGGACCTGAGCCCGTGACAAGCTTCTAATAACTGGTGGAACGAGCCCAGGTGATGTTGGGTGAGGTGGCTGTGGGGTGGCCCGGTGGCTAGTGAGTGCCTAGCGCCGGCCCCACGGTGCTTCAGAGATTCCCCAGAGGAAAACCAACCTGAGCTGGTGTTGGGAGGGGCAGGGGATGGCTGCAAACACCACTCACTCGTTTCTGTCCCTCACCACTGCTACAGCTACGGAAGAGCAGCGAGCCGAGCACAGCTGCCTGGAAAACACAAAAAATACCCTGATTAAAGGAGGGATTATGTGTTGGCAATTATTTTAACGTATCAATCATTTAAAAATTAATTTCATATCGTTGTGACATTAACACAAATTGTCGTCCTTTTGGTCAAATTTTAAAAGCTCATCAAAAAGAGGCTTTGTCTGGGGTTTTCTTTTCCAAGAAATCTGTTCCTCAGAGCTACGGGGACTGGTGGCACGTGCCTGGGCTCGATGGCACAGGCCTGCTGGCTACTGGCAGCGCCTGGGTGGCCACAGTGGCAAAAAAAGGGATAAACTGGACATCCCGGGAGGGGCTGGGAAGCCACCCAGCTCCAAACCCTGCCGGGCTGCGGGCCGTACTAACCTCTTCCTGATTTTACTTGGGGCTGACTTAGAAAATGATGTCTTTGTGTTGTCCTCTTTAATAATCCAAACCAGGAGCAGGATGTTAATTTTGTAATCTGTCCCAATCTTTCTGAAACACAGTAATAAAAAATAGTGCTTGGGAGAATTCTCTTATTTAATATACTTGGGATGAAAATTTTCTGGTTCTGATTATCCAAAAATGGCCCATCCTTAAGATTTCGAGATCAGGGCATAAGCAATTTTCCAGCCCCTCTAATATGCACAGAACGCAACTGAAATCACACACACACACACACACACACACGCATTTTCAAACATGAATATTTACTAACATAAATAAACAGTGTTTTATCACAAAAGGCACAGATTTTCAACTATAAACAATGGAAAAATATTTACAATTTGCACATACATAATCAAACAGCAAGTGCACAATTGGTCACTTCAGATCTTCTTTTCTATATTTTGAGATTTAGTTCCTTCCAAGCAAGTAATTTAACCAGTTCTGCAATGTCCTTTTTTTTTTTTTTTTCCTCCACAAAACCTGCTACCCATGCCAGATAAGAGAGTTTATTAAAATGAATAATTCAGCAGCACGAGTTTTCAAATGGAGACAGTGTTGCTAACTTCTTCATATTGGATAATAAAATAAGGGTAGCTCTGATCATCGTTAAAAATGACAAAAATCTGAGGCTCAAAGTAATTGTCCACACAAGAGTCGTAGAGGTCGCTGGTGATGCTGCCGGGGTTGACCGGCGGAGGTCTCCTCATGGTGTGGTTTCCCACCGTGTACCTTCCGGTCAGTACTTTCGCCAGGAACATGTAATGAACTCCTCTGGGGGACCTTTTGGAGAAGTTGTGGGAATAACTCGCTTTTCTGGCAAAGTAACTGCCCTGCCCAAACATGGTGGCATGCTTCCCGCAGACGCGCGGGTCGAAGTTGTGCTTGCAGATCCCATCCACCACATCCTGGGAGGTGCCATGGAACAAATGCCTTTCGTTCATTATCCTGTCGAGCCCAGTCATTTTTTTGGACATGTATTCCTTTTTCCTGGAATAGAAAATGGAAAGTGAAGATGAGTATTCACTGCAGATCTGCAAGGGAAAAGCGGTTTTCACTACAGCTCTTCACATATCAGTTTTATCCGCTGAAACAGTAAAGCTGTAAGAGGAGAGGGGAAAACATTTCTGTAGGGATAGCAGAGTGGGTCTTGCACCCTCACAAAAAGCTTTTGTCTGAAATTAAGTATTTTGGAAAGGTCTTGAGCTGATACTGCTGGAGGCAGAGCGCTCTCCCCTGTTCAATAATCCAAAATAGGAGCAGGATGTCAATTTTGTAATCTCTCCCAATCTTTCTGAAATACAGTAACAAAAAGTAGTGCTTGGGAGAATCTCTTAATATACCCGGGATGAAAATTATCTGGTTCTGATGATCAAGAAATGGCCCATCCTTAAGATTTCACAAGATTTTGGCAGCAAAGCGGCTTGAGAAGCGCCTGATCACCTTGGGAAATCTTCCTCAGGGTGAAAACAACCGCCCTGCAAAAATTAAACACCTCTAGAGCTTGTGAAGAGACCTCAGAGAGGAGGTACTAGGAGACGGGGTGGGGGTGAAGATGCTCTAGACCAGCACAAACGCTGTATGAAAGTCTCTGCTCGCACAGCCCATCCCTCGCCCCCTCCTGAGCTCCCGCCTTTCTCGAGAAGGGAGAGGGAATCCACAGTCTAACTGCAGCTCAGTTACGGTCAGCAGATGGAAACTTTCAGCCACAGCATCTCTGGTTGGAACGGGACTGACCGAGACAGGATCTCGTCTCTGTGAGGCCACTGGAAGGCCCCGGGCGGTCGCCGTGTTCCGGGGAACCAGGGCACTAGTGGCTGTCCTCAGTACAGATTATCTGATGCAAATTCCTCCTAGTTCAGCTTGAAAGGGAATGGGAAGATTTTTCAACCAGATACCCTAGATCTGTTTTGAAGTTTCTGTGAAGACACATTTGACAGCAGTTACCAGCAGACAGTATGTTAAACCTCTTACACAGGAAATTTCCGGGTATTTTTCAGATCAAGTTGTTCAACTGAAGATGCTCCTTCAGAAATCTGGAGTTTATGTACTCTATTTAGTGATCGATTTCTACTTGCAGCCCAAATTACATAATTTATTTTTCCACTAGTGTAAAAGAATGGTATTTGCATTATCTTACCTTTTATATTTCTCCCACAGAAACTGATTCTGCACTCTCAGAATTTTCAAAATTTTATATTTGGTCTCTGGCACAGTCTTGTGAAACAGGTTATAAATGGTTCTATAGCTTTTATCTTCCTTCAGAACAGGCACTTGGATGAAGTCCTGAGATGGATCCATACTAATCCAGGTTTCAGGATAGAAGTTTGGAGAGGTAACAGCAGTTGGAGATAAGACATGGGAGGACGCGGGTTCGGCTGACAGAGAGGGCACCGGAGAGTTGCCACCTAAAGTCCTAGATGGGGAAAGAGAAAATCTTGGTCCTTAAACATTCACGAACAGAAGAGCTTCTCATCACATTTATTTCACCACCAACACGTCTTAAGCAATTGCTGCGCTTCAGTTCTGTCACAATTTGCACATCTTTAATGCCTGCTCCAAACAAACAGGCCAGCTATTCCTGACATTTTAGCAACTCCTCCATCCGCACTGACAACAAAACCTTGACTTTTCACGCAGGGATGCTGATCCACGCAGGGAAATCTTACTGCTTGGTGGTGGTTAAAGCCCTACTGTGGTCATTTTTCACACTCCGGGATGGGGTTATAAACTACAGACAGGCAGCACGCTACCAAATCCAACTATTTCGTATGGTAGCTAGAAAGCATCAGTGCTTTTAACGTAACAAATAGGACATACAGAATAAAAAAATATTAATAATATGGCAACACTTGACCTAACTTCCTTAGAATACAATATAGGGAGTAGAAACATACACTTTGTTGTACAGTATGAATAGTGAATAACCCCAAATAATAACATTTTATAGGCAAAACCTGCTGACGTGTCAGGGCGTTATGAAGGGGAGCTGTGGTTGCCGCGCTGCCCAGCAGCCGCCGAGGAAGGCGCTCTCAGTTTCATTTGCACAGGCCAGATGTAGATTTGCATTTGCAGTTGCTTATTTTCATGCGCCAGCCCAGCCCCTCCTCCTGGGACTGCTGCCAGGTAAGAAGTCAGGAAGGGGTGAGGGAGGGGAGCTCCTGCCTGCAAGGGCCGCGGCAGAATTGCTGCACGGATGCAGAACGAGGACGGACACCAGTAAAGTCCAGTTAAGGACCCCAGATGTGGTGTGGCGAGACTTTGTTCTGAAATACCTGCACTCTCTGGAATTTTTCACTCTAAATTGAGACAAAGAGTGTGGCATCTGTGGCTTATGTTCACCTGATCATAACCTGAACAAGCAAGCCTTACTCCGCAGAGCAATCCTTACTGCTGGAGTTCTCCCTCTTACGTCAGTGAGCATACTTGGAGCAAGCACAGCTTGCAGCTTCAGGCTCTGGGTTGCACACTGTAAGCCCACAGCTCTTCAGCTCCTGCAAGCTGCTGAGGTTCCCTTTCGGTTCCAAAGAACACCTGGAACTGTCTCCAAGTGTCACCGGAGGAGTATTTCACCACAGTATTTTTATAGGCAAAGCTGTTCCTGCCGCCGGGACCAACCCACCACCAATGCAAACGGGCGGGGTGCACCCAGAATCAGGCAGCTCTTGGTAGGAAAGGTCACAGGTACCCCCCAGCTGGCTGGAAAGACACAAGGTGAACCTTGTCTCCACACCCCACAGGTGCCCTTAAATTAACTTTCATTAAATTAAAATTTAACGAATATTAAAAAGTACATAAAATTTCTTCAGGTCACTTGTGTTCTGCTAACATGGCACTGCCGCAGCCTGAGGAGGAAACCTGTCCTGGCAAGGGGGGAACGGGGAAAGCGAATCCTCTGCGTATTCAGCCTGGGCGAGCGGAGCGCTGACAAAACCCAGGTGCCACCTCCCGCGCACACGCAGCGGGGCTTCGCACGCGCCAGGCCAGCTCCCCGCCCCACGCCGCCTCCGTGGGAAGGAGGGTTACGGGAGAAGAAACCAGCCAACCTGCTGGAGGCAAAGCCGTTTTCTCCAGGGGGACTCCTGGGGACCGGCCCTGCTCCTGCTGAGGCAGGCTGCGGCCCGCGAACCCGCGACTCTCACCCGGGCGATCTGCGCGCAGGGTGCGGCACACGCAGCCGCAGAGCAACCGCGCGTCGTCCCTGCTCTCAGCCCACTCTTCTCGGCAGAGCCAGCGTAATTATCTAGGTAAGTAAGAACTGTGCTGCGACTCACTCCTCACCTACGCAAACGGCAGTTAAGGGTTGCCTTTCAGAACATTTAACGCTGGTGAGATACGAGCCCGAAAGAACTGCGTGTGAATTTTTGTGTGACCCAGGAACAAACGGAATGTGGTTTTTTTCGATTGCAGGTTGAAAACGTTGAGGGGAAGGGGGGGAAAAAAAAGTCTATTTTTAAATTGATACTTTTGATTTGGATCAGAGAGACAGTAAACTGTTAACAGCATTTGCACTTTTCAGAGCAGACACACTCTTCAAAAAAAAAGTGTTCACGTGGCTTTCACCTGCTCTTCAAGGCTAAAAAGAGACCTCACTTTATTTGCATGGATTTGACTCAACTCAAAATTCTTCTCACTGTTTATTAATAGTTTAACAGAAACCCAGAAGCTGGATTTTTCTAAGAATGAATATGAAAACAGCAGTCTGCAATGTTACAGTGTGCATTTGATTTTTTTTTTTCCCCCCCCTCAAGTCAACGGGTAAAAAATATTACCACAGAACCACATTCACTCACGCTTGGACTGGAAGACCAAGCCTGGATTAACAAGTCATGGTTTAATGAGTGAGACATCAAACACCATAAAAATACTGCAATCCTTTGGTGTACTTTGTTCATTTCTTCTGACTAGTGTAAATTATTTGTAAGCATTTATTATACAAGGGAAGCCATTAAAAAGTCAACATTTGTCAACCACTATCATCCACTTCCCACAGTTTATATTCAAGAATTCTTTCCCGATTTTACAACACATTCAAGCAGGTGGGAGGGGAGGGAAATAAAAAAATCTCAGGTAGCACTGTGAGATAAGGGGAGGCAAATGCTGGCTTCTTAAAGAGAGCTCCTCTAGGTATTTAAAATACTCTTTTTTTCCTTGCTAAGAACTGATAGATTTTTAAATAGGTCTTTAGATAAAGAAAAGAAGAATGAGGTTTACTGAAGAACAACAGAAATTTCGGAGCTTAGTTTATAGATCTGGTAGCTGGCAAGAACAGTTATGGTCAAGCCCTAATGAGTACGGAACTAAAATTAGTGGAAATTGCATAATTTTAGCATATCTCAAAATTATAGACTTACACCGTGGTAAAACAGCCACTGGTAGCAAAACACCAAGAGATTACCTGAAATCCTTAATTTTCATTAAGATGATAATCAGGGTTGCTACAAGCAGAAACTCCACGCCTGGTCTTTTTACCTGCCTCCTCCCAGTATCTCTAACAATTCTGGGTTGCTTTCCTGTAAGACCGTATCTAAAAACGTTTCTTAGAACCACGTGTTTTGAGGCTCTGACCAAATCCGCCTTGGCCTGGCAATTAGAGGCGGTAAGGGCTCTGCCAGCTAATGAACGCCCGAGCCCCCCTGCAGCACTCAGAGCCCCTCTGACTGGCCCAGCATGCCGACCTGCCCGGCAGCCTAATGACTTCCACCCCTCCGCTAACGGGACAATATGTTCCTAACTACCGAACTCCGACAATAACGTTTCCAGCTGTGCTGGTGAGATCACAAAAATGGCATTTTTATGAGTTGTAATCAAAAATGACTACAGTGCAACACTTTCCTCGCTCTGCCTTTGATGGGCGAGCGTGGTCCCCCCCAGCCGAGCTGACAGTAAAAACAAGGCATGTTTTAATTGCGCTTGAAAAATTCTAAAATGTTTTTGAACTCTTGTTTTTACGGGGCCTAGAACTGATAGCCTGGCAATCACTACAGGCAGTGAGATGCTGAGAGCGGGACAACGCTTTGGCAAACTCGAGGTTTTGCAATCCACAAGGTACACTGTAATCTTTAAATAACAAACAGAGCCTAGCGGGAAGGAGTTCCTCTGATAATATTTATCTTGAAAAGTGACAAGCAAAAGCTGCCAGTATGACCGAGATTTTTTATTATTGCTTCTGATTTTTCGACCCAGTGCTGCTCATTTCCCTGCCGCGTCTGAAGGAACACAACTCTCGGGGACAGGCCAAAGGCAAAGTTTCCACTTTGCTGGGATACGTACTGTAAGAACGGCATCAGCACAACGCACGAGCGAAGAAGGGGTCTCCTCTTGATCTCTCTTCTGAAACACGCATTTTGCTGGAATCCATCCTTGATGTTCAAGATATACTGGTTATGCCAAGTAACAAACCGAACCTCTTTCAGACCCCGGCAGCTGGCTTCTTCTATCAATCTTACAACAGGCTGTTTCAAGAAAATTAAGAAAACAAAAACATACACATGATAAATTTCATGACCAAAGTTATCATTTTTGCCAGAGACCTCGAAGAATCCCTCCCTACTCCCTTCCCCTCTCCTCTCTTTCCGCTGCTCTGAGGCACAAGTACCTTTAGACCCCTGACAACGTTCCATCACCTGTTTGTAAGCTCTGCCAACAAGGCGGGGTTCACAACTTCCGTGCCATCTCATTTTTACTTGTCAAATGTTATTTCCGATATCTAACCTGAAACTCCCTTGCCACAAATTACTTATTTTTTATCTCTGCCCGCTGAATGTGAAAAGCAGAAGTCCGCTTTAGAGCAATCTTTTATATATTAATAGATTCTCTTTATATTTTTCCTTTTCTACGCTAGAGGAACCCAGTTCTTTTAACTTCTCCCCGCAGGTGAAGCATCCTAAACTTGGTGCGATGCTTTCTCCCAGACCCTCTCCAGCTCTTGCAGGGTTTTTTCAATCACAGAGGCTCAAACTGTATACAGCACTCTGCCTTAAGCTTCTTACCACGCTCACAAAGTCAGCGTGACGCATGAAAAAGATGAATGTGATCCAGCTGACACTGGTGGAGGTGTTTCTGGTACTGCCAAAGCTGTAAGACACCAATGAGGTTTTGTACAGCCCTGGCCAGCCAAAGATGAGCTCTTAACTCCCACAGGTATTTACAAGGCTTACTGGAGAGCTTACTTGAATGAAGTGAATGGCAGTATCCTGGGCTGGGTTTGGTTTGGTCTAGCACAATGCTCTCTGACAGCAGATGTGACTCCTGTGTCCATAATTGGGGTCAAAGAGTTGGAAGAGAGAAGGCCTATTTAAAACCTGATAGGGAAAACTGGGGCTGGTAATGACCAGCGGGCAACAGTGACACTGCAACGAGTGTGCATAACCCATCGGTGGAAAGATTTAAGCTGGACGTTTGGGAAAAGGTCCCTAAGGAGGAGGGGCTGGCAGCCGTGGGACCGTCCGGCTGCAGCAGCTACGAGACAGCGAAGGGCTGGATCCAGTGACTGTGGAGGCTCGTGTCCTGCGCCGAGGTATCTTTGGGGACAGGTAAATTAATGAAAAACTGCAAAGCTAAATGGCTGCAGAAAGCTGCCCCCCCCGCCCCCATCTTAAAACCAGATTTCTAGGGATTAGGGAAGGACTTTCTTGGTACCGACATGGGCCAGCCTGCTCTCAGATTTGACTGTTTGGTCAGCCTCTGCCTCTCTGTTGTTCTCAGGGATAATTCAAGGCACAGTCCAGCAGAGCAGAGTTCTATTGCTTTTTCAGTTCAGTGCTGACCTTCTTGATTATCTTCCTTAAGAGTAACTTTAAGTAACCTTCCGGAATGTTCAAAGAGGAAACAGACTAAAAACGTATATATAGAGTATATACTGTACATAGAGTCCGGGATTACGACCCCAGAGCAGGATTCTGGAATGTGTTAAATACCTCAGAGTATTCTCTCCAGCCAAAGTGGTCCCTGCAGAAGTATTTCCAGACCGTGTAGTAGTTGGAGCTGGAGCTGGGGCAGGAAGGTGTGGACAGCCGCCGCATTTGGTCAAACTCAACAGTTTCATATAATTTCATGACGTTCAAATCCACCCAGAACTCATGTCCCCTGGAAAGAACAAGAAAAACAACCAAGTCTCACCTTTGTAATCCATTATTCAGAGATAATAAACCAGACAGAACTCCAGTTGGCAAAGAGCACTTCAGAGATACCCTGGGTCTGGCTGTGCCCCTGTCACACAACCCCCGTGGCCACGAGGACGCCCCACGAGCTTGATGCGGGCAAAACACAGAGACAAGCGTGTAGAGCCGGACACCGAAGGGCTGTGAGGGCAAAGTAACTCTTCAAAAGAGTTGGACAATGGTGGAAATAACGTGGTTTTCAGCACGGAAAGAAAAAAAACCAAACCCAGCAGTCTTCCCAGTCCAGTGGTATTTATTCAGTATGTGTGAAGGGTACAAAAATCTATATTCATATCCTTGACATTTTGAGTACACTAAGTCAATACATCACACAACCATATTTGATGAAGCAGCCACATACTATTCAAAAGGTTATTCTTGCGAAAGTTAGTGCTTCAGGGAAGAAAAGAAAATGTAAATGGCTCCAGATGAGGAGCATCTGCTGCCAATCCACCAGAGAGTTTGAGTATCTTTCATCACGTGCAGCAGAGGAGAACTAGCATAATATGAAAAGGAAACATGATTTTACAATTTTGGAGCCTACACTGAGGAATACTGGCTGTTTTGGTTGGGTTGGATTTTTTTTTTTTTGAGTAGCTCTATTGCTGCTGCGAAAATCAATGCCAGTAGGCAACTTCACGTGAAGGGACTGGCACCTTCCGAAGGACCTAACAACAACAGGGTGCTGCAAATTAAGAACCAGAGTGTACCCTTCATCTACAGGAGAAAATAAAAGGGCGTTTCCTCTCCGCTTTACAAAGTCACGTTTAACAGCGACTGCGGAAAGCCTCAGCAAACAGTTTCCAATGCTGTTTTGTTAGTCGGGGTTAAGAGAGACGCATCAAATTAAAGAACGTTCCCGAGTCCAGCAGGCAGTTCTACAGCTCTGCCAACCATCAGCCGAGCACTGGTTTATTAGCAATCAAGAACTTAAGAAATTGGTAGAAATTGGAAGAAATGACAGTAATAATCACTCCCTACAAAAGCCATTTTTTTAGAACTGGGATTAACATATTTTCCAAAATAATGCTGTTTACATCATTAGCTTTCTACTTTTATAATCTCTTTACAACTTGTCGGTTTACTGCTATTCATTAACAGTTACTAATCTTTGGCAACTGGAAACGCAGCTTTTGAGACTGTATAAAATATTTCCTTTGAATTCTTAAGAGTAAACATAAATCAAGCTGATACTCGAAATCTACAGTTTATTTCTAAAACTTTGGCAACATTAATACGGCAGAGATCAAAGTGCTGTGTATGAAATTTGCCACATCAAGTGACAGCTATTCTAAACATCTATGCAATTTTATGAATACAGATTTGCTTGAGAACGGCTGCAATTTTGCTGCTTCGCACTCTTACTGGTACGGTTGCCGAGGAGTTTTATTATACTGCTTTCACAGAAAACTACTGAAGAGTTCCCACTTTCCAAACTGATGATCAGCTGGAACGATCCTTCATTCCTCAACAGGAGGTACAGGTGCGTAGCTGTTCTTAGTGTTTATCATCATCAGTTAATTGCATTTGGGTCTGTCAAGTGCTAAGCACAGTTTGAAGTATTACGTGCTTTCCTGACACAGACAAAAGGACGATGTGTCTGCTCCTGCGGGCGCACAATCAGGGGAGCTGATCCGCTGCTGTTTGGGTCAATCGAGATTGCTCTCTTTGTTTTCCAGCGGCGTTCGCGTAGGTTTAAAGATACAGAATAGTCCCCAAGGTCAAATCGGACTGTCTTAAAAATGCAACTCCACGAGCTACTTTTAAAATTCTTGGGGACACAAAAATCATTCTTTTTGCAACTCCCCCAGCACCCCCAGACCAAGCCCCAACCAGCAGGACCCGTTTTGGGGATAATTCACCCCGAGGGCGGCTGTCCCTGTCACAGCCCCGGCCAAGCTTTCTTCCCCTTTCTGCCAAGCACATCCCACCGAAAGGGAACGTCTCGCCAGTTCCCCGCACGCGGTTCTCTAAAACTGCCCTAGAGCCACCCTCATTAAGATGACAGTTTTGTCAGGACCGTGCTACCACCCCAAATCTGCAGAAGGTTTAACAGCGCGTTCCCTCCCTGCGTCGGGCACACCAAATCCTTACGGTCAGACTGGGAGTACAGGAGGAGACCAGCTGCTCCGTGTCGGAGCTGTGTGCTGATAACCCGCCTCTGCCAGGCCGCAGCCCTCCGCGAGATGTGTGAGAGACTAATTAAAGATGTACTAATTAAAGCTGACATTCCACAGCCCACTGCATCAGTGGCCACTGCTCGGGCACCCACGGGACTCAAGAAAATGCATAAAACAACAGCCCGGCCAGAAAAACATCAGATACAAGTGATACAAGTCAGATCTAGTCAGAAGGTAAAACCAGCTCTAAGCAAAATAAATGACCAGTACGAAGGGACTGAAACTAAATGAAGGACTTAAACAAACAAACAAACAAACAAAACAAAACACACACATTCAGGAATGAAAAAACTAGTAACAGATCACCCCCCCTTCCTGCTATGTAGGCATTTTGTTCCATAACAACAAGCTACAATCTACTTTATTTCAAAACAATGTGTGAAATCATGAGGAAATCATCTCTCTGAAATACCAAGCTGTGTTATTATTTATAGTATTCGCAGGCAGCACCATAAACACGATTTTTGGAGTGAATTTCTTCATGAATACATTTTTACTGCTGCTTTAGGGACATTGGCTTTTTCTCATCACAATGTAGTCTTACAGTTCTGAATGTCAGTGCCCAATAAAGCCATTGTTTTTGAGAAAATTTAGCAATTGATACTGTTTGCATTATCCTTTTGGAGAGAGGAGTCGGACTCACACTCTTTTGCAGTTATGTTCTACCTGCAATCCGAGTCCTGAACCAAGACCCCCAGATACTGTGCCGCATATTGTAGAGAACAAATACCCAAAAAGCAGTTTCTCATACAAACCCTCACAGTCTGAGCATTCATTCTCACTTTTGATCTCTTTTCAGGTCAAATTACCAAAATACGGGTCTCCCTATGTTTTCCCCATGCTTTTAGTGCAAAGGAAGCAGATCTTCAGGAGGAACTCCCTAAAACTCCAAGCTGACAGTGAATACACACAAAAAAGTTTTTGTTCTAACTGCAAAGCAGGTGGGGGACTGCAGGGGTCTGGGTGCTTTGCTTCTTGTGGTGCTCTAACAACGTGAAAACTTCACATACAATCCAGTAGAACAAACTGCGGTAGGATTTTTCCTACATCTGTGCACAGCTGAGGGTGCGTTTACCTATCTCCTAACAGTCTGTTGAGGATTTGTAACTCTGGCAGCTAAATGACAGCTTACAGGGAAAACAGCTTCTCTGAAAACTTTCCTGCAAAAGCTGTACAGAATGTGCCAAATTATTTCTCAGTACTGAAAAATGTAACGACTATCTGCTGTTAGGAATTTTTTACATTTTTGTAGCTCACTGTTTCTGCCTCTCCTCTATCAAGATTCCCCTCCCCTGTAAGCAGCTGAGGACGGGATGGTCAACGCCCAGTGACTGACTCCGACGGTTCTGGCATCAAGGACCAAACCAGCTGATTACCACCCCTGCAAACATTCTTCTCGAAAGCCCATGTACAATACAACACTAAGTGCTGCAACACCTCCCACGCACTTACTACTGCCTTTCAGCTTGTTGAGTACAAACCCATCGCTCTTCACTTCACGGTGGGGACACCGGCTCTGGGCAGTTGCTACCTGGGTTTACTTAAAAGTTTCTCTCAGAGGAAGAACTGCAGCTTGGAACCCCCCCAAAAAAAAGCTCTAATTATTTTTTGAAGGAAAAAATGTGGTCGAGATATTTCTTGGCATGGTACTCTCTATCCATTTCCCTTAGCTGCGAATAGGGAAAGGTTCAGCAGTTTCAGGATGTAACAGCATCATCTTCCTCAAACTCAAACTTCTGTTAACTTAGGGATGCTTTAAAAATGGTATTTTTATTTTTCAATCTTCCTCAAACTTCTGTTAATTTAGGGATGCTTTAATAATGGTATTTTTATTTTTCAAGTCGTTTAAGTGTTTAGAATGCTACTACCCATTAATTTTAACAGAAATTTAAGTAACCAAATATCTAAACACTCCGAAATCTATACAAGTGTTTTATTTTTTCCCGTTTAACTAAAAACTTTAAACCCCACACGTTTTCTACCTAACAATAAATTATTGAGAATAACACTGTATTATTTTATACAGCTGAATTTTTAGACAAGTGCATTTATTTGACTGCATCTGAAAAACACACTGTGTGCCCGAAAGCCTACTTGATTCTTTTTCCCCTAATTATAACATTGTGAATAAGATACTCTTTACAAAAAACCTTGATTCACATAAATCTATTACTCTATTACTCCAATGCTCATGTATATTCTTTAACAATACATTTCTCTATTCAGAAGCATTAACTTCTTCAAATTATAACATTTACTGGCTTTTAAGCTCTGAAATCCTAAAATATATTTAGCAAAGTTGTTTAATAATAGCTCTTCAGTTAAAGCACTTCCTCTGTATACTAAAAAGCCTATTACCAGCTTACATAATGCAAAGCCATGAAAAAAAATGAACTGTGATTACAGCAAGTGATTGCGTGATTACATTCCTGCCTTCAGCTTTAAGACACCAGTGATGAAAGCAAATGTGACAACTGCACCTCTCAGCCGCCCGAGGCCTAAATACAGGCGAAAGACCCCAAATTTAGGGTTCAAGAACAGTAAGAATGCGAGATGCTCAAGGTTACGTCTGGCACGTTCTTTACCGTAACATCACTTTTTCTTCAATACAGCGTAATGATTTACTACTTCCGAGGTACCGCGTACACTGCCTAAAGTAGATGTCCAGATTATGGGTAACGTATCGATTGGGAGAGGGAAAACCCCCCAGCCAGGCACACACACCACCTTGTTTCGTGCCCTGAAG